CCTCCCTCAAAGCTACACCTCCCTCACAGCTATACCTCCCTCACAGCTATACCTCCCTCACAGCTATACCTCCCTCACATCCCTCACAGCTATACCTCCCTCACCGCTCATCCCCACCTCCCTCAAAGCTACACCTCCCTCAAAGCTACACCTCCCTCAGAGCTACACCTCCCTCAGAGCTACACCTCCCTCAAGGCTACACCTCCCTCAGAGCTACACCTCCCTCAGAGCTTACACCTCCCTCAAAGCATACACCTCATCCCCCCTCAGAGCTACCACCTCTCTCAAGCTACACTCCCTCAGCGCTACACCTCCCTCAGAAGCTACACCTCCCTCAGAGCTACACCTCCCTCAAAGCTACACCTCCCTCAAGAGCTACACCTCCCTCAAAGCTACACCTCCCTCAAAGCTACACCTCCTCTCAAAGCTACACCTCCCTCAGAGCTACACCTCCCCTCAAGCTACACCTCCTTCAGAGCTACACCTCCCTCAGAGCTCTACACCTCCCCTCAGAGCTACACCTCCCTCAGAGCTACACCTCCCTCAAAGCTTACCACCTCCCTCAGAGGCTACACCTCCCTCAAAGCTAACCTCCCTCAGAGCTACACCTCCCTCAAAGCTACACCCTCCCTCAGAGCTAACCTCCCTCAAAGCTACACCTCCCTCAGAGCTACACCTCCCTCAGAGCTACACCTCCCTCAAAGCTACACCTCCCTCAGAGCTACACCTCCCTCAAAGCTACACCTCCCTCAGAGCTACACCTCCCTCAAAGCTACACCTCCCTCAGAGCTACACCTCCCTCAAAGCTACACCTCCCTCAGAGCTACACCTCCCTCAGAGCTACACCTCCCTCAAAGCTACACCTCCCTCAGAGCTACACCTCCCTCAAAGCTACACCTCCCTCAGAGCTACACCTCCCTCAGATCTACACCTCCCTCAGAGCTACACCTCCCTCAGAGCTACACCTCCCTCAAAGCTACACCTCCCTCAGAGCTACAACCTCCCTCAAAGCTACACCTCCCTCAGAGCTACACCTCCCTCAGTGCTACACCTCCCTCAGAGCTACACCTCCCTCAAAGCTACACCTCCCTCAGAGCTACACCTCCCTCAAAGCTACACCTCCCTCAAAGCTACACCTCCCTCAGAGCTACACCTCCCTCAGAGCTACACCTCCCTCAAAGCTACACCTCCCTCAGAGCTACACCTCCCTCAGAGCTACACCTCCCTCAGTGCCGCCCTTCACCAGCCAATCAGTGAAGCTAGCCATGAGCTGGAGAGTGACCTATGCTTGAGGTAGATTTACACTTGATGCGAGGCATTTCCTGCAGCCTTAGGGTATGGCATGGGTTTTGACTCGTAGTTTAGCGTCTGACATCAGTTCGTATCACCACCCCGACACAGATGGTGTTGCTATATGTGAGTAACTGTCTTTGCTGCATCCACAATAAGGGATGTAGCCAAATCAGTTATTCACAAAGCAACGTTAACAGAGACTTCTCCAACTTTGAGTTGCTTGTTTTTATAAAAGTGGAAAGAAAAAAAAGCCTTAATTATGAATCAATTAATTATTAAAAATATTAATTTGGAAAATGAACTAAAGTTTAGTTTCAAATTGAGAATTCACTGATCTTTTTTAAACAGTAATTATTCTAATATATGTGGTCTGTTACGTAAACCATAAATACAAAATCTGTAAATGATGTGAAAACGTCCCTTTATTGGTCAACATAATGTCATTCTAAGAAAAGGCGGGGTTTAAGAGCCTTCATTCTTAGTAAGATGGCATAAGCTCTCTGTATCGCACACACACACACACACACACACACACACACACACACACACACACACACACACACACACACACACACACACACACACACACACACACACACACAGTGGAGTCCTCCAGGCGTCAGGTGTATTGAAGTACAGAGTGCTGTAAATGGTTTCAGTGTGCTTCAATGCTCTCTGATAGACTGATTGATTTGGTAGGCAGTCCACCATGACACAGGAACACACACACACACACACACACACACACACACACACACACACACACACACACACACACACTGATCTGATCAAAATATATATAAACATATTAATATTTGATGCAGATTAAACCGTTCTATCCTGCAACCCGTTTCTCTCTCTATAAATACTTGTTTATTTTCTGTGATCTTATATTCCTGGCTAAGTGGAGACATTGTATGGAGCAGGTTTTTCAATGAGGATACAGAATCAATGAATTGTCTTTCCTTATTATGTCTTAATATTGTATTTCTATGTTTCGTAGAGTTTCCATTTCCAATGCAATATATAGACATTTAACCAATGTGCCATGTAAACATTGACAGGACTTTTGATTGGCCAGATGTTATCCATTAGCCTGGGCCATTATGTTGTGATGACTCGACTCCTATTGGCTAGCACTCCATCATATTATACGTGAATAGCTAAGGGGCGGGACATCTCTAAGCGGTTGACCAATCACAACAGAGCCGGCCAGCTGACCAATCAGAGCAGACTGGGCTCTGGCTTCAGACAGAGGGTGAAAAGAGGTGCTGCAGCACAGGCAGTATGAGAAAAATAAAGAGCTTTTTGAACATTAAAGCATGGAGACATGTCACAGTAGAGACATTAAATACAAGGGGTCCTTTAAGTCAGTTTGTAGGTTAAAAAGCCAATTTCCTGCTCAGGTGCCAGCACATTAACAAAATAAACGTCAATAATGGTGCGTTCACACTGGACTTGAAGCAAATGTATGGACCTTGCACTTATTGTGCCATCATTTGCGTTTACTTCTAACACTCGAACTAGACCATGCCAGAGAGGAGGCGGGGCTTATCTTCATGTGCATACTTACATACAATCATTGTTTCATCATCCATTTACGCCTCTTGGTTTTTGTGTGACAGCATCAAACACTATCATTGACTTCATATATCATTGTGCCACACAAAAAAATGACTTTGTGTGGGTGTGAATGAACCACAAGTGAGGATTGAGTCTCAGACATCCGTTTACTTAAGGAATTAAAGTCCTCTGTTCATTGACTCTTAGGCAACCAGTTCCTAAAGACAACTGGATGTTGAGGTGATCTTTAATTCTCATTGGCTTGAAAAATGTTTGGTTTGAACGAATGTATGTTTGAACTCAAATTGTGTCTATTCTATTAGCCCTTTGATATTTCTGCCTCTAACAAGCACACTGAGGGGAAATGTGATTTGGGGTCTCGCCAGAGGACAAATAATGGATGTGAAAGTCTGATAGAGGTGAAGGATGAAAAGCAAAAGGAAAGAGGGTATCATAAGGAGGTGAGAGATGGAGGGAAGACACAGAGGTAGACAGGGATGAAGTCAAATCAAAATAATTCAGCTTTTCTTCTCAGCCAACTGCTGGAATGTAATAGGATTTCCCCTAAAAGGAGCAGGGAGAGAACGAATTAAAAAGATGAGATTTTCATTTCATTGCTTTATTCTTTTTTTCCCTCTGCTTTAATCGCCTCAGATGGGTTATTATTTCATGGTCTTGAAGCCCCGAGGCGACGCATCTTAATCTCATCTGGAGGTGATAGTTGGTAATCCAGGCCGAGGCGGGGCGGGCTTCTCTTGGAGGACGTTTATTGCGTTACACACCCTGCATCTGGAGGGACAGTTTATTGCGTTACACACCCTGCATCTGGAGGGACAGTTTATTGCGTTACACACGGCGCAGCGTCGCTTTATTTCGTCCCCTGAGTTCTGGAGGCGACTGGCAGCATCTGTTGGACCAGAAGCTGTCCTTCATCTGAGGGAATTATCTCCACCAAACCCAACGTTTACTGTGAAGGAAGATCTGGGCGGAGTGGCGGCAAAGCAAGTTTCTCTGAGAGGAAATTTCAACAAGGACCAAAATGTGTTCTTCATCTCGTCTTCACCACAAATATCTGGGCTTCATACTGTAGTTTGGATTCAGCTCTAAGAGAATGTTAAAGTCCGTTTACGCCACCATGGGTGAGAAGAGACAATGTGGAGTTGAGATCTATGAGGGGCTTTTCGTGAAACACTGATACTGTAAAGAGACATAACATTCAGAGACAGGACATTTATTTTTCCCTGAAGAGAAACAGGAAGTGATCGTTTTTTTTTAAACACAGGAAAAGTTCAGGTTTCTTTGACTGCAAGATGGAAAAGTCACATGCCTCTAGTTTCATGGTGTTGTGTATTAGCAATACACGTATTTACTGTATACATAATTCAAGTTCTTGGTGTTGTATTCCTATTGAGCAGTGGCAAACCGTCAGGGCCTTCAAGGTATGCAGAGAATACCCTGGAACACTCAGATAAAACAAACACAAAATCGATTTAATTATATAAATAAAATGTATATAAAATGAATAAATGAGAATGGTATCCGTGTCGTTGATCTGTAATATTACAGTGTTACGTTGATTTGTTTGTCCTTCTCGGACCATGCACTACGCATTTCAGTGGTTTTGTGTTAGAAAAGAAAGCAACCAATCAGATCTTGTTCTGGGTCTCTGGGTAGAACATCCTTCAACAAGGTATTCTACATCCTTGATCGAATGCCCTGGCCGTTGCACTGAATGAGAGCGTACGTTTGGACTGACAGTTTGATCAGTCAATCATATATTGATTTGTAGCCAATGGGCGTGTTCTTTCAGAGTTCCCCTCGGTTCCAGGGTATTCTAGAAGGCCCGCTCGTTAACTGGCTCGAGACAGAGGATCTAGAGATGAATGTGACGAAGCAATTCATGTCGTTTTTATTGTTTTTAACGTTGAAAGGGCAAGTGCAACAGGTGGAGATGAAGTTGCATTTGAACCACATTTCTAACACATTTGAAAGTAAAAGCCTCACAAACTGATTCACTGAGGAAGAATTCAGAGGCACCTGTGCAAGCTAAACTTTCTTTCAGACACGTGGAGTTCCTGTAAAAAGTGAATTGTACAATTGTAATTTTGTAACGAGTGTGTTTTTAACTTCTTTCTCTCCTCCAGAACATCCACGGTCACAAAGGTCCCATCACATCAGTGTCGTTCGCCCCCGATGGCCGTTACCTAGCAACATACTCCAACGCTGACAGCCACATCTCCTTCTGGCAGGTAAATCTCTCTCTCACACACACACACACACACACACACACACACACACGCGCCCTACCTGTTTTTGTTTTAAATGGAATAATCTGTGTTTAAATGTCGTTGCTGACTCTCTTGTTTAACAAAAACATGGTTTATAGAGATTTTTTTCGATGTGTTTGACCGCAAAAAAATCTGTTGATTGGTTGGAGCTAAACAAAAGTGGTGCAACTGTGTAGTTCTTCCAGTCACACCAGTACACAGACATTTATACTGGGATTCAATCTAATGGGAAACTTTGTTTAGATGCTTCATCTGAGTAGAAGTGAGGATTTAATTCAAAATTCAAACATTTTTATCTCATTTGATCTTTCAGACAGCGGAAAGAGGGACTATAAAGAGGGACTATAAAGCTCAGTTTTTGTTGCAAAAATAACATTTGCCATTATTTAAAGTGACTAGAAAAAAGTATGGACAAGCTCTGCACTATTAGTCATTTTTCTGTATTGATTCAAATAACTTTGGTCGACTTTTATCTGTAGTTTTTCATGTGCAATGCATACAAACATAAAAAATAAATAAAAGTTCCAGTGCTAAAAAGAAACATGAAATAAACAACATAAAATCATCAGACCAATCACACGTAAATGATAAACACACCCACACACACACACACAGAGGAACACACACTCCTTATCATCTTCCCAGAACTGTTATTTGAATGAGAGGTCTTTACGACCTCTGACACGACTGTCTGCAGACACAGACACACACTAATGGCATTACTGTAAGCATAAACCACTGCAGCGCGCCGGCAAGACGGCTGCTGTGGTAATGAGCTGGCAGACGCTGTGTGTGTGTGTGTGTGTGTGTGTGTGTGTGTGTGTGTGTGTGTGTGTGTGTGTGTGTGTGTGTGTGTGTGTGTGTGTGTGTGTGTGTGTGTGTGTGTGTGTGTGTGTGTGTGTGTGTGTGTGTGTGTGTGTGTGTGTGTGTGTGTGTGTGTGTGTGTGTGTGTGTGTGTGTGTGTGTGTGTGTGTGTGTGTGTGTGTGTGGCGGTGTCGTCTCAGGAAGCGATAGAGTTTCTACTCGCTGTGATTTTCCTACACACACAGTCTCTCACATCATGGGTTAAAATCAAAGCTTCCTGAGAGGGTAAAGCAGGTCCATTGCTAACAGGAAGTGGGATGAGGGTCTGATAGACAACATATTCGAAAAACTAAACCATAACTAGGTCAAAACTTTGAGATGCAGCAAGGTTCCTGCTCTAGTTCCTCTGATCTATCTGTTATTATTTGTTGTTGCCAAAGAGCCTACTTGGGCTGTATTCATCTTCTCACTGTGAGTAATGGGTGCTATAAAGACCGTTGGAACCATATTTATGAGCTGTAAGGTTGCCATTTCCAAAAGTATAGTTTCCTTACTCTAAATATCCATTTCCAAGTTTTCATTTCATTGATCTCCTCAATGTTCACCAACAAAGACACGCAGTATCTCACTTAGAAATCACATCTCTACCAAAATGAGAATACTTTGAAAAAAAGTGACCGAAACTGATCGAATATCTGAAAGTGATCTGATTTAAACTGCAACATTTTTGAAAATCATTCGCTTTGGATCACTTTTAGCATTGTCAATTTCAAACCCATTTATATGACAAAAGATGTGTTAAATATTTGCTGATTCAAGCCTAGTGGGACATTTGTTATTCTACCTTGTACAGGCTAAATGTTACTGGTATTAGGGCCTATGTGCGGATTCAATTGAAAAAAAAACACTGGCGCTCAGAAAAAGTGGCTTTGTGGACACGTGCCCTAACTGGTTATGAATGCTTAGTGTCTATGAATCAGCTGGTTGTGTTTCTCCCCAGATGAACACCAGTCTGCTGGGCAGCATTGGGATGTTGAACTCGGCCCCTCAGCTCCGCTGCATTAAGACCTACCAGGTTCCTCCGGTGCAGCCGGCGTCTCCGGGGTCTCAGAACCACCTGAAGCTGGCCCGCCTCATCTGGACCTCCAACCGCAACGTCATCCTGATGGCGCACGACGGCAAGGAGCACCGCTTCATGGTCTGAAGTCTTCATGGTCTGAAAAGTGTCACTCGGCAGCCACTAGTTTTAGCTTCAGATATGTCACCTTAGAGATCTAACAAAAGCAAGGTGAGCCTGACAGTAAAGAGTTTTTATTGAGATTCAGAGGTGTCTCGTATAAAGATCAGAAGGTATCATAATTGGCAGGAAAGGTAAAAACCCAGCTCAGGTTGGACTAAATTATTTTTTTGTTTTTATCTCCTTTAGTGGACATTGTGAAACTTGCTTTGTAATTTATTTAAAAGCCATTATATAAGGCACGTTTATACTGTGATATGCATTGATGTATTTTTTAGTTGTTAACACCTTCCTGTCATTCCTATTTATTGGCCGAACGTCACAGATCTATGTGGGTTCAGACCCTTGCTGTTTACTCGATGTTAGCCTGCTACCTTTTAATTCAGTACTCAAAATGATTCAATCTTAATTTTCTCTTCTTTATATTAAAGTTTCTTTGGGAGTCTGAAACAACTTAGGTTGGATTTCTTAAGTTGTCATTGCTGGAATTAAAAATGTATTTTAAAATATTTCAAAGAAGTTCTCCACCGCTCTCTTTAATGCTTTGCTAATCGCCGACCTCTGTAAGGCAAGAACACACTCTGTGTGTGTGTGTGTGTGTGTGTGTGTGTGTGTGTGTGTGTGTGTGTGTGTGTGTGTGTGTGTGTGTGTGTGTGTGTGTGTGTGTGTGTGTGTGTGTGTGTGTGTGTGTGTGTGTGTGTGTGTGTGTGTGTGTGTGTGTTGTTCGATGTTTGCTTTTACTTTCTGACACCTCCGATGTTTTTTCCATCCTCTCTGAGCTTCATGCAGACATGTGTGTATGTGTTTTCACCCCAGAGTATTTTCACAAGCACACATTCTCACTTCAGACCGTCCTAAAAGCACCATCACAGTTAACCTTAAGATGGTGGAGGCATTGCTCACTGCAGATATTAAAAAAACAAAAGCATAACGTTAAAGGTGGGGTAAGTTTGAGAAACCGGCTCGAGATAAACTTTTTGTTATATTCCATGGAATGCTCTTAACATCCCGATAGAAGTGAATATCTGAAGTGCTTTGACAACAAATACATTTAAAAAAGTCATCAGTGGAAGCCGTAGTTCTGTAAAAAGCACGACCAATCATCTGCTTCGGCCCGGCTAAAGTAACTGGATGGCCTACCTGCCTGCCAGCCTTCCATCTGGGCACAAACTTATCTCGTGCCCTCATTGGTCATGTGCGCGTTTGGAGGAGGTGCTCTGTGAGGAAGTGGCAGATTTCTTCCGGTTGTGTATTTTCAAATTCTAGCGCACTCGAGCTGGTTTCTCCAAAATTACCTCCCCTACCTTTAAATTGGTAAATTTGCCTGTGTCCCATGTTTCCATTTCTGGAAGTTGGCAACCCTAGTGTATCTGTCGTGGCTAACGTGACGTCTGCCTGGCACTGACTAGTTCTTCAAATCCGTAAATCTATTTTAAAATGTCACAGTATTATATTTACATCTTTAGTTGTCTGATGAAGATCTTGGCTATGATTTGATGGAGCAAGAAAGCTGCATTTGTTTACTAAAATGTTGCTTATATTGCTTTTTAATAACAGCGAGGCATGACACAGCTTGTTATCCCAGAGCTAGCTCTATCGATGGATTCTTATGAGGGATGCTAACAGCCTTGTTGCGCTGACCAGCATCTTGCTTCAGTGATGTGGAGATGTCCCGTCACGTGTGTCAGTACTTCGTGAAGTCACTGTTCGGTATCAATTATTTGAACTCTGCTTTGGAGACAGTAAGAGTTTTATTCAGAGAGAGATATATATATATTATGAGAGAGAGAGAGAGAGAGAGAGGCGGTTGACATGTTTAAATAACAATAATTTGATACTAAATCCAAGTCTCCTTCTCCTCGTCTCCATCTTCCCTCGCCTCCTTCCTCCCTCGTCTCCTTCCTCCATCTCCTGTCAGTTTCATTAGTGCTGTCAGAAAGCTTCTAACACCGTTACACACCTGTAAACCCGAGCGTGTCAAAGCTTTTCACAAGTCCTTCCTCTCTTAAAAAAAAAACATCCGGCAGACAGGTTTACACACACACACACACACACACACACACACACACACACACACACACACTCCAGACAGCTTTGAGATCTTAATCTTTGGTTTTCTCCACCACTCTTAACAGTTTGAGAAAATATGTTTTCTCCACCTCTCTTAGCCTCTCTGGGGATGAAAGGTGAGAAAAATAGAGACTGCAGGGAGGAAGAGTGGAGGAGTAAGTAACAAGTGAGGAACATCAGGTCATCCACCCAGAAAAAGGGTCTTCTTTGGTGAAGGTAGTGAACTGAAAGGTCTCGATTAGAAGGACCTTTCGGTTTCTCTTCCAAAGCTGCAACATGGATACAAATAACACATGGTGCCCTTACGTTTCCAAACCCTCTAAATACATTTGTTTAGTTGTTGTTCACTGCGACAAATGACGCTTTCATCTGCCTTTTAATATAGACCTTATAGATATGACAGCAGTTTTACACTATTAAGCTCTATTTTCTTTCTCAATAACAAAAAATGTACCTCAGTTTTGGATCTGATTTGCAAAAAGAAAAGTGTCTGCTTCCTTACTTTCCAAAATTCACATTTGAATTTCATGGAAATGGCGATTAATCTCATGAATTATAATTATTTACTGTTTACACGATGAGCTCAATGTAGATAGGCCTATTTAAGAGTGTGTGTGTGCAATGTAGTACATGTTTATGAGCTTCCCTTGATGTAGGTTGAATCTAAATAGTAACGTGTTGTGTAAAAATGTGTTGCTGTTGACTTTGTGTCCAATAAAGATGAAAATGAGACTCTGGGTGTCCAAAATCTGTTTTCTGCTCTATTTTCATTTCTTTCAACTTAAAGATGGGGTAGGTAAGTTTGAGAAACCGGCTCGAGATAAACTTTTTGTTATATTCCATGGAATGCTCTGAACATCCCGATAGCAATGAATATCTTAAGTGCTTTGACAAAAAATCCATAAAAATCTGTGGAAGCCGTGGCGCTGTAAAAAGCACGACCAATCATCTGAGCCGGCTAAAGTAACTGGATGGCCTACCTGCCTGTCAGCCTTCCATCTGGGCACAAACTTATCTCGTGCCCTCATTGGTCATGTGCGCGTTCGTGTGTGTTGGAGGAGGGGCTCTGTAAGGAAGTGGCAGATTTCTTACGGCTGTGTATTTTCAAATTCTAGCGCACTCGAGCTGGTTTCTCCAAAATTACCTACCCCACCTTTAAATTGGTATACCTAGCGTCCGATGAAGGATTGTTAAGATAGACATGTCATATACTGTATGAAGTAAACCAGTGTTCTTCTAGTTACTGAAAACCAGTAACATTACTAGTTACTTCATTTCAAAAGTAACTCAGTTACTTTACTGATTACTTACACAAAAACGTGGTGCGTTACTGTGAAAAGTAACGTTTTAGTTACTTGAAACAAGGGCTCCCATTAATGCCCTTATAGCCTTCATTGCAGTACTGTTATTGCATTGGAGAATAATACAATCTGTTGATCAACTTGACATGCATTATATGCAATCTGGATTGCATCGATATTAGCTGGCTTTCCATTTTTGTATATTCTTTCTCCAGGTAGTTGGAAAAAGTTTTCCGTCCCATATGCCGTGTGCCGCCCGGACATGGTATCATGCTAACTAGCTCTCTGAAAGCGGGTGACTCCACTGTAGCAATAGCCTGCATGTGTTCTACAACATACCGTGCAATGGCTTTATCCACTTTTCCCTGGCCAGCAGTCCCTTGGTTAAAATCCAGCCGCTGTTGCTTAGGTGGAGGTGGAGTGGCGTCGGCTGAGTCTCTGTGGTCTTAGCTACTAGCTTCGTCCCAGCATGTTGTTTTTGCAGATGTTTTAAGAGATTTGAATGACTGGTTTGGGCAGTAGATAAGATCTTTGACCCGCCAAGACACAACTTACATTGAACTAAAACGTTCTTATCTTTGTGCTCGACAAAAGTGAAATAGTGAGAATATCTCCAGGTGGAGAAACTAGACTTGAGCTCCGCCGCCGCCATGATAGTCTTGTTAGTAAACAACACAAACACGCCCACAGCCCGTCTCCGCATGTGACACAGGAAGTATCTAAGTACATTTACTCAAGTACTTAAGTACAGTTCTCATCTCTGTTCGCCTGGCTGTTGACTATATAAACAAAACTAACGCAGTAACGGAGTAACGCACCATGTAGTAACGGTAACGTAGTTACTGAATTTGAAAAGTAATGCGTTAGAGTACTAGTTACTAACGCGTTACTAACATTGAAGTAAACACACAAGCAGTAAGAGCTTCCATCAATGCACCTTTCCCACATTCAGGTATATATCTGTGCTTTCCCCCCCCCCCCCCAAAAAAGTTGTAAAGGAGACAAGGGAAGTACATGTGATAAAGCCGTGGAGGGCGGGAGTTTATACGGGATGCTCTAATAGAGCGAAGTCCCTCCCCTTCCGGGGGAGCTTATTTCGAAAAATGTATGTATTGAAGTCAATGGAGAGAGAAAGATTATCTTTCGATCCCGTTTGAATTGTGCCACGAATTACACATTATGATGTTTGTCAATTTAAAAGATAATTTTGCAAGTCAAAAAAAAAAAATGATGAGTGCGATGACAGGGTTTGAGGGAAAGAAATACATAATCTGAACGTGAAATCAATAAATGATGCTCTCAAATTTAAAGACCACGATCTTGAATAAAGATAGGGAATAACCCTACATGTAAATGGACCGCAAAGGCTAAAATCCCAAAGTTCACTTCAGAGGTTCTCGCCCACACACTAAGGGGCGGGACATCTCTAAGCGGTTGACCAATCACAACAGAGCTGGCCAGCTAACCAATCAGAGCAGACTGGGCTCTGGTTTCAGACGGAGGGTGAAAAGAGATGCTGCAGCACAGGCAGTATGAGGACAATAAAGAGCTTTTTGAACATTAAAGCTTGGAGACATGTCAGAGGAGAGGAACAAAACACTATGAACCTGAACATGAGCATCATATTCCCTAATTAAATGTACTTTCTTTCATCATTGGCAGTTATAGGATTCTTTACTCTGTTTCTGTTTGATCAATTAAGGCTAGTTGTACTCTCATCATGAGTTCAGAGCAGTTTTAATGAGTCTCTGATCACAGGGCAGCGGATCAATGTCCTTTAATCTCAGAAACTGTCAGTGTTGAAGATGTTCTGTTTTTCCATCTGTCGAATATTTTAACCAAACCTTCGTCTCATTCAATTTAATTTAAGATCACCGCTGAGATCTGTTCATAATTTATAGGTGGATAATGATTCAAGTTGTGGTGTTACATGTGAACTGATCAGTAATTCACTTTTAACCCATGTTTTAAATATGAAAAGTACATTCAGAAAATCTCAAACTTTACTTTTTAGTTCCGTTCTATGTTTGTTTGCTGTTGTTTATTGGTTCATTTTAACTTACAGATATTTAAATCTGTTATTAACAATGAGTAATTAAGGGATCCTTTGTGGTCATTGTTTAAAGAAACTATATGTTGACTCAAAAATAGGATGAGTCAACATTCTTCTGGCTTTGTACTTGTATTCTGGGGGGCAATTATAAAAAAGGCACGTGTGGACTGTGGAGTGTTAAAGGTCCCATGTCATGCTTTTCTGGTTATCACCCGTCCCCTTGAGTTATGAAGGTTTTTCTGCATGTAAACGGTCTGCAGTCACAAACCCTCAAAGTACACCCTGTAGCGAGTAAACCTCTAACACAGAGAAGACCTGTCTGTGCTGCCCCAGAACGCCTCGTTGGACATTTCTCTTTCTCCATTGTTTACTTCTTGGGTATAGTGACGTATTTCGGGTATAATGACGTTACGTAACGGCTCCGCAGATTGGTCCAAATGGAGCCGTTACGTTTGGACCAATCCGCGGACTTCCTCACACACACTCAACGGGACGTCGCGAGGCTCGCTGCTGCGAGGAGCGGGACACTGTGAGCTGGCTCACAGGTGTGGGGTCGGTGAGACAGAGAGACACCGTGGAACTCAGCCTGGGCACACACACAAACTCTCAGCCAGGCTGCGGGTGTGTGTGTGTGTTTCGGGCTGGGTTTCGCTGTGTCTCGCTGTCTCGCAGATGGCCACTGGGCTCACAGGGGGGGGAGTTCCAACAAGCCGTTTAGGTCAGAGTGAATACACATACTACAGAGATGCTGTTTGAGAAACCAATGTGAGTTTGGAAAATTGCACAATATAAATCTGTTCTAGTAGACCTCAACAATGGAATTATGATCAGTAGAAATGGCCATGACATGGGACCTTTAATAAAGAGTTGAATGACAAACTATAAAGTATGAAATTGTTCAGACACTTAGCTAAAGCATCGACAAAGCCGCTGTCACAGAAAACGCTCTGATTCCCCTCTGTATAATGTGTGCTACACAAGGCATATTCAATCAATCAATGTTTATTTATATAGCCCAATATCACAAATGTTACATTTGTCTCAGTGGACTTCACAGTGTGTACAGAATATCAGAATGACAATACGACACCCTCTGTCCTTAGACCCTCTGTCCTTAGACCCTCACATCGTACAAGGAAAAACTTCCGGAGAAAACCCACAGTTTAAAGGGGAACATGGGAGAAACCTCAGGGAGAGCAACAGAGGAGGAATCCCTCTCCCAGGACGGACAGATGCCGTGTGTAAATTGAAAAGATAATACATTTGCAACATAGGTAGACCAAATGTTTGGAAATGCCTGTGTGTATAATAGGAAGATGAATCCACGAGGATGTCCATCCAGGACTTATGATCCAGGACCACAGCCACGACTCAAGATCCAGGGCTCGCGATCCAGGACACAGGACCGCAGGATCATCCATGACTCCGGATCCCGGCGTATATAGACACCAAAAAGAAAGACATTTGGGGAAGCTGGGTTAATCGGAACATGAGAGTACACAGGTATAGACAGAGAGAAGGAAGAAGTAAGATGTCCCCCGACAAACTAAGCCTATATCAGCAAAACTAGGGGCTGAATCTAATCAGCCCTAACTATAAGCTTTATCAAAAAGGAAGGTCTTAAGCGCACTCTTAAAAACGGATAGGGTGTCTGCCGCCCGAACACAAACTGGAAGCTGATTCCACAAATGTGGAGCTTGATAAGAAAAGGCTCTGGCTCCCATTGTTCTTTTAGAGACTCTAGGACCAACCAACAACCCTGCATTCTTGGAACGCAATGCCCTAGTATAATATTCTCCCTTAGTAGTATTCATACATACTGTACATACATCTCTTCCTAAAGTGGTGACCCTGTCCACTATCCATGCTTCAGGGAGATGTCTTTTCTTCGTTTTCACCACATCTAAACGAACATTTGTCATGGATTAGTCGTGCTGTTACACTATGGAGGTCCAGTTGTCTCCAGTCAGTGAATACATGCAGCTTGTGTCGATTCCTCTGCTTACTTGCTTGGGGCGGTGGTGGCGAAGTCGATAGGGACTTGGCTTGACAACTGGAAGGTCACCAGTTCAAGTCCCGGCAAGACCAAGTGCTACCGAGGTGTCCCTGAGCAAGGCACCGTTCCCCACACTGCTCCCCGGGCGCCGTTCAAAATGGCAGCACACTGCTCCTAACACTAGGATGGGTCAAATGCAGAGAAACAATTTCCCCACAAGGGATTAATAAAAGTCCATCTTATCTTACTCTTCCTTCACTGGAAAAAAAGTTAAACAATAATGACAACAAGCTGTTTTCACTTTAAATAAGTACAAAAATCTGCCAATAGAACAAGTGAAAATTAGCTTGGTAAGATGTCTTGAAATAAGAAGGGATATTTA